CTCAGAGTTGGAACTCTGGGGGTACCAAATGTGGTCCTCTTGCTTTCTTCCATAACAAGGTGGAAAAGAGAGGAAAGGTTTATTATAAGCCTTTTATGATTCACACTTTGGAAGACAATTTAAAAACGGTGGGGGGTGGGAGGGATGGGGTGACTGGGTGACGGACACTGGGGAGGGTATGTGCTATGGTGAGCGCTGTGAATTGTGTAAGACTGTTGAATCACAGACCTGTACTTCTGAAACAAATTATACATTATATGTTAAAAAAAAGAAGAAGATAGTAGGAAGGGAAAAATGAAGGAGGGGGAAATCGGAGGGGGAGACGAACGATGAGAGACTATGGACTCTGAGAAACAAACTGAGGGTTCTAGAGGGGAGGAGGGTGGAGGGATGGGTTAGCCTGGTGATGGATATTAAGGAGGGCATGTATTAAATGGAGCACTGGGTGTTATATGCAAACATGAATCATGGAACACTACATCAAAAACTAATGATGTAATATATGGTGATTAACATAACATAATAAAATAAAATTTAAAAAATAAAAACGACTGTTTTAAAACAAACAAAAAACAGAAAGAGACTCATAAATACCGAGAACTAATAGTAGCCAGAGGGAATGGGGTAGGGGAAGGGGCAAAATGGGTGAAGGGGAGAGGGAGGTTTAGGTTTCCAGTTATGGAATGAAGAAGTCACGGGAATAAAAGGTAGAGCCTAGGGAACATTGTCAGTGGCCCTATAATAGCATTGCATGGTGACAGATGGGAGCTACACTTGTGGGGTGGAGCATAATCTATAGACTTGTCTAAACACTATGCTGTACCCCTGAAAGTAAAGTAACACTGTGTATCAACTATACTTCAATAAAAAAATAAACTAAAAAATTGATGTTTTTAGAATCATTATAATAATACCTTTTCTAAGTGACTAGATTCTCAATGGTTTCTCATTTCTTTTTTGGGGGGCTTTTGTGGCATGGCTTCTAAAAAGTTTACTTTAGTTAATTAATATAAGAAAAATTCGTAAAGTAGCAAAAGTTATGCTACAATAGGTGAGCAAATAATTCTATCTACTTTTCTATGGATTAGCTTTAAACTGTGAGGAAGGAGGGGTGCCTGGGTGGCTCAGTTGTTAAGCGTCTGCCTTTGGCTCAGGTCATGATCCTGGAGTCCCGGGATCAAGTCCCGCATCGGGCTCCCTGCTCAGTGGGGAGTCTGTCTCTCCCTCTCCCACTCCCCCCTGCTTATGTTCCCTCTCTCGCTGTCTCTCTCTCTGTCAAATAAATAAATAAAATCTTTTAAAAATAAATAAATTGTAAGGAAAGAGACGAAATCTAGAAGAGGAATCCATAAAGAAAGAGAATTTAAAATATTATTGCCTTCTCAGTTCTCTTCTCTCCCTGCCCCCAGTCTCAGCACACAGGATCAAAGATAAGCTGCCTTTGGGCTTGCATATGGAAAAATAAAAAATTATTATGGCCCAAAAATGAAGGTGAACATCGAAAAGGGTAGGTGAGAGAGGACAAGGTCAGATCTTCGGTTGAAGTAAGCCCGCCTAATGAAGGAAAGGGGGTGGGGAGAAAGATGCAGTAATTGAGATGCATTTATCATGTGATCTTGCTTTTAGAGATGAATAAAAATAAACAACCTTGGGGATAAATTCGTTTCTAACAATGAAGAGAGGACTATAGTAAAGTATGAGAGGAGAAGAAAGATCCTTGGATTCAACTAGTAGTGGCCTGGACACCACAGTGTATAGTTGAAGACCTGATGTTACTGGAAAATATGCCATGTTAACAGTGCCCCAAGAAGTATCTTTTCTAAGGGAAAAATACAATGTACTGATAGATCACACGTGAATGGTAAAAGAGGAGGCCAGTGTACTGCTCCTCTGGTCCTCTTTAAGATAATCCCCTTGAAATATAATGCCAGCTCATGTTAGTGAACCCAACCATCAAAGGACAGAATTTTTAAAGACCATATTTGAGATCTAAGAACACTTCTTTTTATTGGGAATGATTTTTGTTTGTGAAACAGTTATGTATAAACCATCAATAATAAAATGTATTATTTTATTAAGCCAAAGTTTGGAGAGAAATCTAATTGCACATTAGCTTATCACTGGAACATCCTCTGTAGGTATGAGGAGACAATATTGTACATTTTTCCTTTCCCACAGCTTTCCACATTGTATGGACTTAATACATGGCCTGTTATTTCTGGAGGGAGGTTAATTTAAAATCACACCCTAGTTTGGATTGCACACCTTACTCTGCTAATCCACAGCTGACTGTTTACAACTTTTGTCACTATGAACATACATATAGAACTTCCGGAGTCAGATTCTCAAAGGTAACATAAGATTCATGTGAAATACGATGAATTGAATTCAAAATTAACTCTGGATGGTCCTGAACCCATAAATTAAAAGAAATGTCTGCTAATCCCTTTTTAATCTAAATTATTTTCTCAAAGAAGCAGGTGAAGACACACTGACCTGGCAGAGATTTTTCTGATGCTCTTAAATACTTAAGACAACTGAAAAGAAATAGTGAGTGATGTTGGCTCTTTGCTGCTTGACCGAGCACACACAGTGACTTTTTTCTTTTGTGTATTATAAGCCTCTATCATATTCTGTAAGATTCAACTGATAAGACTTTTCAATAGATTTCACCATTAATTTGAAAAGGACTTTCTTTTTCCTTTTGCACTCATTCATGCACTCATTCATTCATTCATTCATCAACATACATTAATTGAGCACTTGAAGTGTAATGTCAGGTGTTGCAGGATAGGATGATGAGAAAAACCCTGGCCTTTCACATTATCTCTTGCCTTCCGCACAACCGTCTTGCTTCAGCATGTCCTCATCTCCTCATGGCTCAATTTCTTCAAAACCTTCTAGTTGGTTCTCCTGACACCCAAGTCCCACCCTGTTCAAGCTGTATTCTACACTCAGCTGTAGAAAAAGATGCCTTGATCAAGAGTGCCCTGTTGTCCATATTGACACGACTACCACCACACCAATAACAATAATGGTAATTAATAGATGCTATTCTTTGATCTGTTGACTTTGTACACTTTACCATCTCATTTAATCCTCATTGTGACCATGAAAGGCAAAAACAACATTTTTATTTCAATCGTATCCACAGTTTCTTACTAATGGGGCGTATGGGCCTGTTGAGCACTGCATAGCTTCTCAGATGCTTGAATTAGATTGCACACTCAGTCTCCTCTCCTGCTCCACGTAAGTCTTAAAAAGGAATGTGATGTGATCGAATGTTGAAACTGAACTATCTTGAGGTCAGGCGGTGTTTAACAGATGCTGAGTATCATTGGGTTTCCCTTCGAGCAATTAAAGTACTCTGCCACCCCCGTGTGAGTCTGCTGTGACTTCTCAAGATGCTTCTGTGCACAATTCGGGAAATTTGGTCCTACGTAGGAACGATCCCTCTTCAATGCTGCCTTTGTATACTGCTCATCTGGCTCAGAACACATTGTGTTTCACATTTGAATTGTGTGCACAGGTCTCGTGTCTGCTCCTGGATCATCTGCTCTGTGAAGCTCAGACCAGCCCTGGCACAGAAGTTGACACACCTTGCATATAGAAAACGTTCAACAGGGGTGCCTGGGTGGCTCAGTCGTTAAGCGTCTGCCTTCAGCTCAGGTCATGATCCCAGGGTCCTGGGATTAAGCCCCGCGTCGGGCTCCCTGCTCAGCAGGAAGCCTGCTTCTCCCTCTCCCACTCCCCCTGCTTGTGTTCCCTCTCTCACTGTCTCTCTCTCTCTCTCTCTGTCAAATAAATAAATAAAATCTAAAAAAAAAGAAAAGAAAAGAAAACGTTCAACAGTAGTCTATCGAATGAGGGGATTAAAAAAATTACCCTATGTCCTTATGTAATTTCTCCCCAGTTATTTGAGATGCTTTTAATCTTACCCCATTGAATTTAAATATATTTTTTGAACAAAGTGTACAGTTGAGAAGTGTTGCTGACTAACTGATGGAGTGCAGAAAAACCAGTGTTTGACTAGGCAGGGGATGACTCTGACGGGGGCATAACCTTTCTGAATACTTGTGGTTTACCTACTCTTTTTGGAGCAGCATGTTTGCGAGTTACTGTGTTCAAACACATTACATTCTGAGTACAGAAAAAGGAAAATAATGGTGAAGAATACAGTGCAGGTGAGTGTTTCTCGATGCTGTTAATGCTATATGATGACTATGCCATCAATGACGATATTATCAATGACAGAAGAAAGAGGACTGCTGGTAGAAATTATACTTTGAAAGTAAGTATTTAAGAGTAAATCAAATTATGTTCTCCTTTAAGCATCTGTAATATTAGTTCTTACAAAGCTCTCTGAGGAAGTATGGAATGGTTCCCATATATGTGTGTGTGTTTCCTTTCCTTCTCTTTTTTTAAGATTTTATTTTTTTTAAGTAATCTCTACACCCAACATGGGGCTTGAACTCACAACCCCGAGATCAAGAGTCCATATGCTCCACCAACTCAGCCAGCCAGGGGCCCCAATCTCTCCTTTTTTTTTTTTTTTTTTTTTTAAGGCTTGGAGATAGACTCCAAACTGCTTTCTGCCCCCAAAAGTAAATATGCTTCTATTCAGTCAATCAGATTTAGGTCCAATATCATTCAAGATAATCAGGAAGTAACTATTTGTGAAATCTTCTTTCACTGAGTTAAAATGCTGACAGTTACTAGCAACACACACACACACACACACACACTGAGCCATTTGTCTATTAAAATTAAAGTGGTATAAACTAAATAGAGAGATGAGATGAAGAATACAATTAATTTGGGGGAACATTGGGCTAGTTCCCAAGATTTTTCTCTCCTTTTGGTGTCTATTTCCCCTGACAGACTGGAATTTCTGTCCCAGCACTAGTGAAAGAGGATCATCGCAGTAAATTAATTCACTTTCAGATGAAACAGACTTCAAAGCACAAAGCCAGCCCTGGGACAGAGAAGCCTTTAGTTACCTGCTGTTTCTCTGTCAGCTGAGGTCAGCTCTCCGTTGATTCCATTCTCTTTGGTATCTGAATAGGTGCTCTGTGACCCATGTTCTCCAAAGGCGCCCTCTTCATCCTCCCTGTATGGGAATCCATTGGCGCTTCTGACAAGTCCTTCCCCTGCCCCGCCTTGATCCTTAATCTCAGGTGGATGTGGGTGTGCAGATGCCTCTGTTAGTTGAGCTGAGGTCCAGTGAGGCGCCTTTCCTTCATCTTTCCGATCATCTGCCATTCTTCCACGCCCTGTGACCTCTTCTGGGATTGGAATCAGAAAAATGGTAGCCATCAATTTGGGAAAATCTGATATAAGACAGGGAAAACTTACAGCAAATGGTTAGCTATGGCCAAAAAAAATGCATAATAATCCACTGTAAATATCAAGCAAATAATTGTTGTTAATACTTTGGTTTTTAACAGATCTTTTCTGGCCTATCCCTTTAATATATGACCATCATCAATTTATATATATATATATACATATTTATGTATATGTGTGTATATATATATTTTTTAAACTAGTGTTTGACATTTAAGGAGATATCTAACTTTCATTGACATATGATATTGACTGTACAGTAGAGTCAAAGAATTCTTCAGGACAGGGGAAACCACAGTATGAGGAAATTGGGTAGAAAAAGGTAAGAAAAGAAATGACTAAGGGGAAGTGATGAATTAGGGAAGGTCACTCCAAGTACTCTTTTAAAAACACTACTCTCCCCGAACCCTAGAATAGACAATGTCTTACGTAGTAGTTCTTTCTATTTCAAAGGTGTTCAATTCAAACCAGAGGTGGATATGTTTTCTTGGATACTGTATATTAAAAGATAGTTTTGACTTAATTTTTCAGCAAACTTCCCTAAACCCTATCTACAGATTAAGAGTATATACAGATATACTAAGATTTTCTCTTAGTATAAATCTTACATAAAGAATAAAAAATACAGTATTAGGCCCACATCCTACCTTATAATGTTATTTCACAGCTAAGTCAAATCAGATATGGAGAAGTTAAATCACTGACATACATCAGGTAGCTGTAAATTATAGTGAAGTTTGGATAAGTCATGGAGCGGGTGTTCTGCACACGTTAAGTGAGTGATGGATATCGCATGGCCTTCACTTCCACGCCACTAGGTTTGGAAATGTAGTCAAGAAAAGGTGATTCATCACTCAGTTATTTGTTGCCAGCAAGGTAGTCTCATGGATGCCCTATTGTCCCCACACTGAGGATGAGGACACAGGCAATGATTGTCTCTGACGGAAACGAAGAACACTTTGCTGTTTTCAAAACCAGTAACTCAAGTAAAAAACTCCAAAGAAGCAAACAGAATTGCATTAAAATAAATCCACTTCCTGTTACTAAGCTCTGTTTAGAGACTCACAAATAAATTAAGCCATAAAGAAAGTTAAGTTTTCCTACCAGATTCCTAACAAGTATTTGTCTTTTTTTTTTTTTTTTAATTACTGAATTTCAGTGCTTTCCTCAGGTTCTCATTCTAGTTTTCTATTCATACCAGGAAGAGCTAGATGAGTTAACTCATTTAAACTAATTTGACTACAATACCAAACCTCCCCCCAAATTGCTTTCTATTAGGGTTCTATTTACTGTCCCTAAGAACATATTTAAAAAGGATATAAGAGGTTTAGCTTTTAAAACATTGAAGGACTTGTGAATAAACCAAGGAGCCTCCTTATATCACTGACAATGCGTAAAGAACTGGATCCACAGAAGGGTTTCCTCCTCCGTAAAGTTAGGACAACAATGCCTAGTTTACTGTTTGTTATAAAGTGTGAGCAGAAAAATATAAAGGGTTCATTCAGCGCAGTCCCAGTCATGCTCAATAAATAGTAGTTACTATCTCTGTTATTGTTGTTAGAATGATACTACTAATCACTATATCACAAATCATTATATATAAAATATTTTAAGTAGTTTTCTGGAATTATTGCTATAGGAACAAGAGCCTGAAAACGCGGTGATTACAATAACAAGAGTTACTTGCAAATCTGTCTCCAGATATTATGTAGGACTGAAAGAATGTTCCAAGGCAGACATGGCAAATGTCTAATGGACTGAAGAAATACCTAGATTCCAATTGTGACCTTCGTATTTGAGACCCTGGCTCAGCATCCTTCTCCTTACATGCCTTGGTTTCTTTGTATTTCTTTTCTGAAAATAGCTTAATTAAAATTTCCATATTTTTATGTTGTCCAATCTATTTTGCATGCAGAGTGAATACTTGTAAATAGGAAGTTTCCCCAAAGGAAGTATATTCCTTGTTAATGCCACTTTAGAAAAAAAAATTACTGGGTTTTAATTTTAGAACACTTTTAGATTTACCGAAATATTAAGCAGATAGTAGTACAGAGTTCCCATGCACCCCTGTACACAATTTCCTGTTACTAAAATCTTACCTCAGTATGGTACATTAGTTATAATTAATTATAAAATATTAATACATTATTATTAACTCAAGTCCATAGTTTACTTAGATTACCTTAATTTTAGCAATTTCCTTTTTTTGGTTGTTCCAGAATTCCATCCTGCAAACATTAACATTTCTTTTCATGTCTCTTTAGGTTTCCCTTGGCTGTGAGAATTTCTCAGACTTTCCTTGTTTTTGATGACCTTGTAAAATACTGGTCAGGTATAGATAGAATAATTCCTCTATTGAAATGTGTCTGATTTTTTTCATGATTAGTTTTGGGTTATGTGTTTTGGGGAGGAAGACTGTCAGTGCTAAAATGCTCAAATAAGCTTGAGAAATGCTGAGTTATAGGGGCATATATAACTTGAGCTTTCTGAGAGCTTTTGATATGCTACTGGAATTTTGGAATCTCAGGGAGGGGCAGTGACGTCCAAAGCATTCCAACCAATGGGCCATAGAAAACTTTTTCTGATGCTGTGTTTATTAACATGTCCAAAAGGATTTGGGAAATGCTTAGGTTTGCATTTTAGCCTTTGTTTAAAGCTGAGTGCTGTGAATTGTGTAAGACTGTTGAATCACAGACCTGTACTTCTGAAACAAGTAATACCTTATATGTTAAAAAAAAAAGAAGA